AACACGGCTAACTCTCTCTCATTTTACTAGTTTACATCTCCATCTTTGAAGGCCCTCTGTTGCGGGCAGTCCTTTTCCACATAACGACAAGAGCCAGAGAGCAAGACATGCTGTTCCTAGCCACTGCTGGCCAGAGAAAGAACACAAGGAGAAACTGAATGTGATCCTACCACTACATCATGCCCATGGCAACACGGGCCATTTAGCAGTAGCGTGATTTTTTAATACAGCTCTAACAAACATTTTAATTGATTCAAACATTAGCAAGAGGAAGGACATCCTTGCAATTAATCATGTGTCATCAGAAATCTAGGAGGTTAGGGTAGGCTGTTAATAACCCGAGTGCCACACACCCTGTTTTGCAGACAATAGCAGAGTAAGGGCAAGTTGAGAAGCTCTTGGTATTAGTTATCATGATACGGCTAGATTAAGGAAATCTGGAAACTATTTTACACTGGGGGTTTGGACTAGTGTAATTATGTGGAGAAGTCCTTAGGCAGAAGCCTTATCTATACCAGGCTGTTTCCAGAGGTTCCAGCAGCAGGTGCACAACTACATGACTCATCTTCATCAGCCCTGCCAGGCCACAAAGTGCGTCCTGGGTAGGCTAGTTGTTAAAAAGCATTCAGCAGAATCCACCTTTTGTTCAGAGAGCCCTGAAGGCAGAAATGAGGGTTTCTGCTATCATAGGGAAGTAGAGAAAGTTGAGAGTTGCATTCATACTTCTGCTGGCAAAACTATGTAGTATAGACCAGGCTATATATAGGGTGCCCCAAAATGACAGATATAACTACTAAGAGAGATGTAAATGAGTTACAGATACCATGAAATTGGAGACTGTCAGGGATGTTGACTGTCCAGCTATAGGAAGGGCAGCTGAGGAAAAGAACTATTTCTGGATATCACAGGAGGAAAAAGTCAACAGCAGCTGCAAAATTAAAAATGAGATTCAGCCTACCAGAGTTATAGCAACTGGGCAATTATTTGAAGACAATATATTTAAATCTTTTGAAGAAAACAATATACCACAATAGACATTAAAATTCTGTTTCCCCACTCCCAGCAATCAAGGCATTTTTCAACACATCATCAAAGAAAAGTAAATCTCAGGAGAAATGTGACAGAATTCAAGAAGATATTGGTCATATCTATGAAACATACAGGCCTATTGTCTGTGTCATATAAAAGGAATTTTAAATTGCCATGTAGAGGACAAAAAATTGTTTATGATTAATGGACATAAATCACATACATTAAATCTCAGCTATACACACAGGCTGAACAGAAGGCCAGCACACATGGTATACTTTATAATATATGAGATGTTACTTTCCTCTTACAAATGCTTACCTTTAATGCACACTGAATGAGAAATTGGTGATGAAGAACGGGAAACAATCTGGAAAAATGGTCCTCACATATCCACTTGCATGACAATATACAGAAAGTTATTTGAAAAAAAAATCTATAAAAAGTTATTTGAAAAAAGTGGGAGATTTGCTAAGGGAAACAACAGAATACCAGCTATCAGACCACTCCTTACTGTTTATAATGAACCTTCCTGAGAAGTCATAGGGAATTGCTCACTCATTTTTTAGAGTTGCAAGAATTACAATTCCAGTTGTTGCTAGAATTAAAATGACACTCCTAAAACCATTGAGGCTAGGGACTAAGGGCATTTATACATATACTTTTTTGTGCTGTGACACGCCGGAGATCCAGTATATTGGAGCAGACTCGGAAGTGAATGATAAGCAACCCAGCAGAGTCCTGCTGCTGTGATTGTGGACTGCAAATCCCAAAGACCTCAGGGGCAGCAGGAAAAGGAAGCAAACACACAGCTCATGCTGGCTATGTGCCAGATCCGTGCTCTAGTGTCCCCTGGCTTCTGGCCTGAACCATTGCAGGCATGTGGCTCCATTTCCTGAATCAAAAATGAATGTTTATCCAGTTATTTCTCAGTTTAATCTCTGCATTTCAAACTATCTTGCAAAGACTGAATCGATTTAGCCTCAGGCTTTTTGACTATCTTAGCCTGAAGGGTTTCATAAAGTTTAGTAATGAAAAGGTATCTTATGAAGTCATTGTTCTATGGAGAAAAAAGATGCTTGCTTTGAAAACTGGTGGAATATTTTAGATTTAGAATATGATGAAAAATAATCTCCTGCCTCCAAGACAAAGTCTGAGAAACTTGTTTTGAATACTGAAGGAGAGTACAAGTTCTATGAGCAAAGTTAAGAATAAATTTGTAGTGCATTCAAAAATCTGGAAGCAGAGATGCATAGATTAGTGAGCCTTGTATTATAGTCAGAGTACTGAGGAAAAAGAGGAAGGTGAATCACAAAGCAGGTTAACACACAGAGAGAAAGAAACACAGAAGCTTGATATGGAGTATGAAATGTTAATGAAATTTTGTGGACAGAAAGGAAGGGAAGAGAAGTGGGTAAGACTTAGTGGACATTGTCTCATTTGTGGACATTGACTTAGGCTAAGGGAGCACTATTGATGGAAGATAAATATTTGTCTTTATGCACACCTTAGGGGACTGGCTGAATCTTTAAATGGTAAATTTGTTACCTAATAAATTGGATTAATTAATAAAGTTAAAAAATAAGATCCAATTTTCCACCTGGTCAAGTTGGTACTGTATTATTATCAAACCTTACTAGTTAGTACAAAAAAATCCAGGGACTCTCATCCCAGCAAACAATTTGTATTACTCTTTAGCTGAACTGAAAAAGGTTTGGGCACAATCATTTCTTAGTTTCCAGACTAAGTACTCTAGCCTCAAGGCACCCCTTGGAAAATGCCAGCTTTGAGTTGTAAAATTATTTTTTGACTACAGAAAAAATAACCCTTCTGTTACAAAAAACTCAGAAAGACCACAACAGGTCAGAGTGGTTTTGACACTCTGGACTCCTATTTGAAATCTCTGGGCTTATCTTGTGAATCATGTGTAGGGGTTATGCACACTTAACAGTGCTAATATTGCATAGCATCCTATGGCACCCCAGTGCTGCAGAACCCTGGTTGGGAATCACTGCTCTAGACTATTGACCACTGTCAAGCACGCTTACTACCCCACCCCTCACACAACTTCAATTAAAAAAATTAAAAATTGCTAATCACTTATAAAATAAATGGCCTTCCTCAGGCTGCACACATGCACGCACTCACCCACCCATCATTAAGCTTTGTTCGAATAACTCACCTTTCAAAATTCACTTCACCTGGAAAAAGCTGGAGCAACTGAGTTGTATGCAGATGACAGGTGTCAGCAAATGTGCATGCTGGTAAAATTAATCCCAGTTTAGTGCTGGGGGGAGAGATGCATCTTCTATAAAACACTGCTACAATCCTCTACAAGCCTCAGCTCCTCCATGCCAGCTATGTCCACAGAATTATGGATTGTGCTTTCATCTCTAGCACAACTCAACTGTGGCATTGAAGTCCTATAATGGATCTATGCAAAGTTAATTTTAATCTGAATATAGAATCTCCACACTGAGTTACACTTAATGGCTGTGTCCAGACGAGCGCGGTCGTGTGGTATGTGGCACTGCCAACACGTCTGTGGCACCACATACCACACATTTAGATGTTCTCTGTGCTGCAAGGGAGCATTGCCCCTCCATGCACTGCTCTGCTTTTTATTCTGTGGGTTTTTTTGACTCCTGGATATCCTGTGGAAAATGAAAAAAGCAGAGCTGGGCCACCCAGAGTTGCACTGCGGCTGCTGGCCAGGCTCCATGGCAAATCACCACTGCTGCAGGCCTGGGAGGCCCCCAGGACTGCAGGTAAGGCTGCTGGGACCAGCCCAGTGCTGGCCCCAGCCTCCCCTACTCCACCCGGTGTAACTTGCTGTGCACCAAAGTGCATGTGCCATGGGTGTTCCCTGGGGACAAGTAGTGGTGGCACACCTTGTGCTGCTGCTACTTGTCTCTGGGGAACCAAACATCCACGCTCATCTGGATGTGCCCAGTTTGTTTAAATTCACTAGACTTTACATAACCCTTCCTAAGGGATAAGGGTTTTTATTCATGTAGTAGCATGCAATAGTCCCATTCTTGGATCACAGAGTCTTTTTGTAATGGGAGCGGTACTAGTATATAAAAAAAAAAAGAACTGGTCCTCACTCCAAGGTCCAAGGAGCTGTTGCCGCCTACAGATTAACAATGAACAGAGAAGGAAATCTAGCTGTTACACAAGAGTTTTGAAACACATTTTTCTGAGAGCGGAAACAATTTCCATGTGTTTTTCCTTAGCAGTCAAAGTAAAACTTCAAGGCAGCCTATTTCAGTCATTTCCAAGCATACAACATTGCTGGAGGAGGTTAAGATTTTCTTTCGGGAAATACTTTCTCTAAAGAAGTTTCAGTGTAAGGCTACCCTGGTTAATAGAGAACTGAGATGGATGTGGTAGATATTGATGAAAGCAACTAGCTGAAGCTGCTGTTACTGTATAACAGGTTTTGCTGCTCTATACAAAGGTGCTTTGCAGGAAATGATGGACATTGGGGTATCCTTTGATTCATGGGACAAAGGAATGAGATTACAGAGATACATGGGGATGTAGAACCTGGCCTTGGGGGTATTATTCTCTTACTTCTTGTTCAGCTTCATCCTGTGTTCACAGCTTGAATGTGAAGGATGCTTTAAAATCAGCCTATCTACACTATAAGACATGTAAGTGGTAAGTCCTATCTTACAACCTGGCTTTAATTCTAGTTCCAAGGAGGCCTCATCAATAGTACAGAACTGAATTGTGTTGGAACCAGGTCCCTGGACAGGGTATAATAGATAGTAGTAGTAGGTCCCATCCTGGTAAGGATTCTGCATTTGGCTGCCTTGTTGCAGCTGGTATTTTCAGTCTCTCTGCTCTGTCCTCTTGCCCTGTTCAAAGCGTGGTTTGCTTTCTTCAGCAGACTGAAATCCTGTTGGCATACAGTGGGTGATGTAGATGACTCAGGGACAGAAACAATGCCAAAGCAGGGAAGACAGGCCCAGAAATGGTATTGAGAAATAAAGTAACATGAAAGACAAGGAAAGGTCAATGACAGATTTTATTCTTCTTATTTTTTTTTTCCCCACAGTGGAATGGAGAAAGGAAGCCAGAATTTCTTTTCCCCCTCTGTGGATTTGCAGGGACAACAAGTTTCCTAGGAATCCTTCTTGGCAATAGGTCCTTGAAATAATGTTGCTGTCAACGTTAGTGGGGGAGCTTGTCTCAGAATAAGTGCTTCCTGTTGTAACATTAACCAAGATAAAGTACTCTGGGAGAGATGTTCTTCCGTTTCCTGTTAAGGTGGATGAGCACTTGTGCATAGGACCTGTGAGATGAATGGAATGCGGGGAGACAATCAGCCAAGACATGAGTGAACTATTTGTTCCCCACATCTGCCCTGTAAATACCATCCACCAAAACACCACCACTCAGACTACACCCAACACCTCAAGCTTTGCTTTCATTTTACTTTAAAGCAGTGATTCTCAATGAGGGCACTCTGGCCTGCCATGAGATCCTTTGAAGGCTGTAGAGAGGTTTGAAGAGATAAGGGCAGGTTCTGTTCCTGCCTGACCATTCCCCTTTCCCACTACCCAACTCCCCTACAAGGAGGTAAGCACTGTGTTACTTTTTTGAAATGGGGTGCCACTCAATTCACAGATGTTATAGAGCAATGCCTTGAGCAAATTAAACAAACAGCGATGAGCTCTGTGTAGGGCAGTTCCTCACTAGGCACATAGGGATTAGTAACCTGAACTTCAAAGAAAGGGGATTTCTCACCCGCAAGGGTGGAGGCATAACTGGATGCTTGAGTGCCTTTGGAGACAATGTTGCTCTCCCCCTTTGTTCTTCTATTGCCCAAGAAAGATTTTATTTTTATACCAGGTATCCATGTTGTAGCTGTATTGGTCTAGAGGAAAAGGCAATCCGGACTCGTAGTAGAGAGGATATTGTTTATTAGACCAACAAGATTTTTGCAAAAAAAAATCTTTAATTGCAAGCTTTTGGGCACAAAATACCCTTCATCAGGCATCGGAGAAAAGAATGTAAAAGTTCTCCTGGGTAGTTTTTAAAAATAACATATTTGTTATTTTTATGCCTGCATTTTGATTGCTTTGACACATTAGAACTTGTTCATTCAGACCTGTATGCATGTTCTCGCTGAAGTGATGGTTACTCTTTGTCATTGCTTTTAAACAGGAAAATGCTCCTGCAATTCACAGATGCTGCATCCTCCTGCATTCCCTACTGTACTCCATTCCCAAAGAGGAACAGGTGCAAACAATATTCCTTCTGCTTACAAGCAGCTGGGAGGGTACGTCGCAGCCTGGGCCATGGTAATTTGGCTGCAGTGATCTACACATTCCAGGTTCAGCTACTCTACTCTAGCAACCATAGGCTACAAAACGCCACCATTACATACATCTTAATACATTCATGGTTTCATAGTTTCTAGGGTCGGAAGGGACCTGAGCAAATCATCAAGTCCAATGCCCTGCCCTGGGCAGGAACGAGTGGTGGGATTCCTAGCTGCGCCAAAAGGTTCAGCTCACCTCTTACGAGTTCAAGATGCTTACCCATGGTGGGCGCTACCATCACTCCAAGAATGCCAAATCAGAGTCATTGTTCTTGAGATCCAGACCATCATGGTGCCCTGGGGACAAAAGCAGGAGTCACATCTGTATCAGTCCTGAAACTCAACAAGTGCCTTTGAACTTCTCTTTGAGAGAGATCAGCATGGGCATGGATTGAACTAAATTCAGGACAAAATTAAAAGACATTTCCTTTTGCCTTTTCTTTTCTTTCATGAGTCCTGAAAGAGGATGACTGCTCTCAGCTGTTGAAGTAAGAGAGTGTCAAGGTGACTCAATTCAGCATCTTACAGGACTAAAATCCATGAGTTGCCAAGCCAGTGCACCTGCACTGAAGTGCTGGTGATTTTTAATGACCACAAAACACACAACCAACCCCTACATACTTTGCTTCGGCCTAAAAATTGCCTTACCAAAATTATAGAGCACCATAACTATAATTGCTTCCACAGTGCATCTGTCCTGTTCCTTTTTTATTATTATTATTTAAAATGTCCTCCTCACCAGTATTATTGTATTAATTTCTTCCTCACCTTTGCAAGTCTAGCTTTGCTGACTGTTAGGGTGCGAGGTTCTGTAATGCAGCATCTAGCAAGAACAAGTAGCCCAAATGTGACAACACACAGTGACTCAGAGGATGTCACACACATTCTTCTTGAATAGCATCAGCACAATCTAAAACCTGGCTTCAGATTTTTCCCGTTTCTCTAAACATTTACAGAAACCAAATGTTTAGAAGGTCACACCCTTTAAACACGTGCTGGATTTCCATGGCAACCCCTCGTCCATTCTTATTCATGCAAACACTGCAAAGGGGACTTCAGCAGAATATAACTGATCAGTGAAACACAGCAAAAACATAGGGAATGCTCTCATATACATGCAGTCCAATTCTGCTGGGAATATAACATCTACATCAGCATGTTGGGTAACAGGTTTAACAGAGTGCTCTCTCCTTGTTCCCCTGTACAGAGACAATACACTATACCACTTACTACAGATAATTCCTGTCTCATTTCTCTAGGCATGGGTGTTATGGACAAAAAAAGTCTCACTCTTATCTCCCTACATCAGCTAATTCTGGTTGGGTTTGGAGAGAGTATTCAAGTCGTTCCATCTCACAGACTAATACCAGCTTTTTTGCATCACAGCTGTACTGCAGGAGCCGTAGAGTGGTAGCATGGCCCAGGGCTCTTGTCAGGATGACCGAGTTCTGCCCCCTCCCAGCTGTGGTTTGAAGGCACAGTCTCAGCAATTGAACTGGGTGTCAGATTGATGAATGAGCTTGAAATGTGCATGTTTAAGACTTAGGATACTTAGAAACTCTGTGCGACTGCAAATTGGTAAATGCCCCTGCAAGCTTGTCCTCAGCACCAGCAGGCCCTGGAAGATCCAGAGTTCGAGGTTACATTAAGCGTCTGATCCACTAAACACTTCCCCCACTTTCTTTTACGTACGTTAGATTTCCTTTAATATCCTCTCAACTTTTCAACACTTCATAATAAAGGCCAGCTCTGGCAAAGCTGAAACAGCACTTTGATGAAAATCGAGGGGAAAGGAAATCTAGGGAAATCGTGTTACATACATCCAGTACCTTATTATGAAAAAGTCCGAAAGGATTTTACCAACAGTAATAACTTCACCCAGAGTGAAACATGGCATGGAGTATTAGAACAGAGAACAATGCACACTTGGGAAAATGCCTGCCATTCTATAGCACAGGATCTCAAAATCCTTTATAAGTGTCCATTCATTAAGTTTTTTACATACTACATGAAACATTACCTGTAATTTAGAGATTAAGAGCAACAAACCACAAGCCAGGGGAGTTAAAAGTGAAATCTTGCCCTCACTGAAGTCAGTGGCAAACTCTAGTGGAGTTTAACAAGGCTGAGATTTCACTCCAACTTTTCAAAAGGCAGCTCTCGATTGCAGACAGCATGAAGCCACAGAAGTTGACAGGTTGCATGTTTGGCAGGGGGGTGGTCAGTGCCTGTAAGTGTTTCAGCCTGGTCTGCAAAAAAGGGAAGCTGAACAGCAGATACTATAAAGTTCTCACCTTTCTGATATTCCAGTGATTATGTCCCAAGCCTGTGACATGTAGGAATGTAACTCATCTTCTGGCTCCCTGTCCTTTAACAGCCAGACCAGACTCGCATACATTCAATTCAACTGTATACACAGGAAGCACAGAAGGCTGGCGCACACAGTACATTGTATTATACATAACATGTCATTTTCATCCTACATATGCTTACCTTTAATGCTCACTAGTCCAGAGTACATGTAGTAAGTAGCTCAAAGTACTCTTTTAAAAGCACAAGCACTACATGTTTGCACAGCACCAAAGGATAAAGTAGATGGATACAAATATGCTGGAATTTAATCTTGTTAATTATGACTACAACTGTAGCTCTAGTGGTGACTGGAAGCAGTGAGCTAACCTGCAGTGTGATACAATTAAAGGCAGGATGGGCCATTAGTTGCCAAGCACGTTCTGTCCTATGCATTTGACAGTGCGCCAAAAGACTGGGTTTTGATATATTTCTTTGCCGAAGAAATGTATTGAATGATAGAGCGGAGCAAGTCAAGCATCCAGCATCAACTGTTATAATATTTAAAAGCTGTTTTCATAGTTACCCATTCTATCCTGATAAAATACTGTAACCAGGCAGGTGTCATGTTCCTTGCACAAAACAAAGTACTGTAGCATTGGAAATGCTTGCAGTTTTAAAGACCAAGACTGACACCAGGACTGATCCTGCAGACTTGCTGCATTTTGAGCATAGATAAAAAACCTGGTTTAAGAACCTGGAGAAACCATCTAACCTGACCCCTGCCTGGCATGGCAGCAAGGAAGGAAATTTGCTCCTGTTGGGGCTTTGAGAGAGGAACTAAATGACCAGGGGTTGGCAACCTACGGCCCATGGGCTGGATCTGGTCTGTGGACATGGGGCTTTGGCAGCAGTTGGTTTCCTGTGCCCCCACAGGAAAAAAAGTGGCAGTGGCTGCATCCTAGTGCTTGCCTTTCTGCTTGCCCCTGACCTGAACAGGGTCAATCTGGCCCATGGCCTAAACAACTGAATTCACACTCCCACCTTGTGGGAAGGCTGTGAAACCTGTACAGTCTTTCAAGGGCTGTCTCCCTCCTTTTGCATTTCCTGATCTTTCACTGAAAGCGTGTGAAGATTTATCTTCTGGCATAGGATTTCTTTTCAAGCTCATGCACATTGCTACAACAGGGAGCAGTTCCAACTCCAGTGGAGTCAGTGGCTGATCTCCTACAGGGAGGAGTAAGATTTTCATACAAGACACCGAGTACCATAAAGTACTCCTGGGTCAGCTAGTGTATAAGCACAAATGCAGCTAGTTCAAGAACATCCTGTATAGCACTGCTGCAGGGCCTAGCAGAAATGTTGCCAAAATACGGCTATAATCAGAAAAAGGAAGTTCCCCCACCTCCCTAACATATTTACCTTCTTGCATATTTACATGATTAATATTAATACACAATGCCAAAATCCTCATGCCTTCATTAACCAAACCTTTAAATAGTAAGTATGACTGGTGTGAGGCTTAGCTTTGACTAAACCATGTTGCAAGCTCTGGAAGTTGTCTTTTATTGCCATTATTCTCTTTCAAAATAAAATGAAAAATTGGGCTATCCTGCTTTCCTGCAGGGTTGTGATTTAGAAACACAAAAAATCTGCTCCCCAGTTAGAATTAATTATGAGGAATAAAAGTATCCTTGTGAGGTACTTTAATACCCACCTTTATCTGCTCCATTGGCAGGATGCCAGCATATACAACTGGGATATTTTAGCATGCAAACAACACTCATTTTATAATTTAAGCTGCACTTTTTGATCTTCCCAAATGAGTGATTTGCTTCACTTTTCACAACCTTCCTAGAAATATTTTGTTCTAAAGCTATGCTCTCAGTAGAATTTATGTAAGCTCTTTTAGTTGAATGGAATTACTGGATCAGTAAGGGATACAGTGAAGTGTGTTGCTCCGTCTCTGACTGCACATCCTTACAACATACAGCTCACAATTTCCAATAAATTCGTAACAATCCTTTAAAGCAGGCGTATGCAACCTTTTCTGGCTGTGGACTGGAATGAGCCACCTCAGTTAGAAACGGGAAGGTGGTGCTAGGACCCAGCTGCAGCCAGCTCTTGTCCCTGTGGTGGCACAGAGGGAGCACTCTCAGTCAAAGCTCCCTGCTGCAGAATGTCACTGAAAACCCATGTCTATTGGTTGGATCTGGCTCGTGGGCCCTAGGTTGCCCACTCCTGCTTTGAAGTGCTCTTGTCAGGGTAGTTTCTGGATTATTTTGAATAATTTGAATAGATTTTGAATATCTCAGGATAGTTTATAAGTTAGCTCCACTGGAACATGAATTCTTCCTTAGCAATAGGAATGTGAATTTTCCCTTAGCAGTTCACAAGTAGGGTTGTATCAACTGAAAGCTACTTGACACCAATTCTCTTACACATGACTGTGTGTGTATATTAGACACACACACACACACACACACGATAAAAAGAATCTCCAAAGTATAATGAATTTGTACGAGACTGGCAACTTGGGGCTTGGACAAACGTTCAATTGGAGCGGTTCTAAAAGGAGATTGGAGCGGCTGCTCTTATGCTATAACTCAGCATTTTCCACTGCTTGTGGGTTTATGCCTCACTGTAGTAAAGTCAGCCACTTTCACGCCCTGCTACTTTCCACGTCACAGCTGTTCTCCCTTTCCATTGTCCTGGCTCTGCATGTGCTGTGCCCCATGCCCTCCCTGCAAGAGGACACACCTCACACCGTGGGAAACACCCCTCTAACAAGATGAAGCAGACTTGAAGCTGGAGGGATTTTACTACATCTATACCCCTGCATGCTTGCACACCCATTGCAGCACCACCCCTTTTCCTTTTGACATGGCTCCAAGGGAGCGTTCATTCATACCCTTTGTCTACTCTGCAAATAACACAATTTTCAACAAATTATTTTATGCCCAATTCACTAGATTCCTATCGGATATCCAGGAAAACAAGGCCTGATGTCTGGTATTTGTAAAACCCCAAAGAGACAAAGAAAAAGAACAGTGATTTATGCCATGAATGACGCGTGCCTCCTCAGGCGACAATTTTTGCCCCATCTGGTCCTTGAAAGCGCTCTACAGCTGTGACCAAACAGAAGTGCATAACTGCAAAATGCTTTAAAAGGGCTTGATCCCAATGAAGACATTTCAAAACATACTGCCTGCCAGCCTCCAAGTAGAATGGGAGAAGGGAAAGCATGGGCAACTGGTGGCCCCCGAATCTGGGGGGGCACCAGCGGGGCACAACCAGAGAACAGTTCCCCAGCAGTCAGCCAGCATGGCAGCGGCGGAAGTACTGGCACTTCTGCATGCAGCATGGCCACCAGCAGAGCCAATTTTAAGGGGGGCACAAGTGCTCTCTGTGTCCCCTTACCAGTCAGAGTGCTTGCTGTCAGGGGGGTCACTGGCACTCTCAGGGGGGGGCATGTGCCCTACTATGCATCGCCTATGGGAGAAAGGGAGCTCATTTGAGGGGTTCCCCAGC